CTCTTTGGCAAATTGTAACCTCTTCCGCACATGTCTTTTTTTCAACAGTGGGACTTTGCGGGGGCTTCTTGCGGATAGCTTGGCTTCACATAGGCATCTTCTAATTGTAACAGTACTCACAGGTAACTTTAGACCTTCTTTGATCTTCCTGGAGCTGATTTTTGGTTGAGTCTTTGCCATTTTGGCTATTCTTCTATCCATTCGAATGGTAGTTTTTTTGCTTTCTTCCACGTCTTTCAGGTTTTGGTTGCCATTTTTAAAGCATTTGCGATCATTTTAGCTGAGCAGCTTATCATTTTCTGCACTTCTTTATGTTTTCCCCTCTCCAATCAACTTTTTAATCAAGGTACGCTGTTCTTCTGATCAATGTCTGGAACGACCCATTTTCCTCGGAATTTCAGAGAGAAATGCACTGTAACCAGCATGTACAACATTTGCTGCCTTCCTTCCTTAACTAAGGGCAATAATTGCCACCTGTTTTTCAAAGAATTAATGACCTCACTAATAGAACTCCACACTGCTATTATTTTGAACATGCTCCTTTCAATGAGTGATTCAATTACACAGAATCAGCAGCATGCATGTCATGACTGTTGGGTCTGTTGGATTTCTATTACTCTACTACACCTGCTAGTAAATTATTTGCCATGTAAAAATATAATTTCTACCAAAAACAGTGATTGATCAGGTTAGTGATGCCTGACTGCTATTATTTTGAACACAACTGTATCTGCACAATATACTTTTGTCCTCATTACACATTCCTTTTGGAATGTCCTCTCCCCTTCTTTTAATATACTATAGGCAAGAATTACTAGAACTAGAGAGTGCAAATTCTGGTGCAGCTCTACATAGAAACCAATTAGCTTCCAGGTTTTATTGTCAAAGCTTAACTGAACAGTCTTACATTACGTTATGTTAGCAGCTGATTGGCTACCATGCACAGCTGCACCAGATTTTGAGTGTTGCAGTTTTAGTAAATCACCCCCTCGTGATCTTCAATGTATGCAAGACTACGTCACTTTTCCACTCCTTCACTTTTTTCTTTATTGATTTATGTTTTTTTTTTTTAATATTATTATTTGGAATGTTTTTTTACTGTAGTTACTCTACTGAACCCTCTTTGTTCTGTGTGTTGAACTAAACATGCTTTGATTCCAAAAAAAAAGAAGAAATAAAGATAAAATCTCTTTAATAGGGGAACAAACAGCAATTAAAGCCTTCTCTATTTAAAAAAAAAAAATTAAAGCATACCTCCAGTCAAATATGTTTTCCTTTGGATAGTGTGGCAATTTTGTATATTAACTTTATGAAGTATCCTACAAGAGAGGTAATTAAACTTCAGTTTTAAGTGATAATGCACAGTATTGTAACTAAAACGGTATGTTAATATAGTGGCTCAGTTGCAAATTAGATAGTAAAGTCATTGCAGACAGTCCAATATGTAATATGTCTAGAAAACTGAATTTGTTTCAAATTCCTAGATTTTTCAACATTTATCATTTTGTTTGGCAAAACAGTTAGCTGGGGGCAAAAAATGGGCATGTGGCTTTAAATAAAACTGATCACTCTAGTGTAGTACAGTTCATTTGAGTATATTTTATAATGACTTCAGAACAGCCTATTATGCAAGCCAACAACACTAAGTCATAGGTCAAATGGGATGACTTAAAGTGATATAGTACAACATAAATTACAATTTAAATCTCTGAACCAGCAGTAAGTTTTTTTGTTATCACTGCTTGGTGAAAGCTGAAGACAAACCACAAACTGTAAGTAAGACAGAGTTGTGTATTTTGGGGAAGCCACGGAACATTCTGTAATGTTGGGCTGAACCTATAAACCGCAAAACATCATAAAACTGTAATTTTGTTGAGGAATGTTTGATGGATGATCGGTGGGACCCACATATTCCTAAGAAAAAGTAATCTGTTATTTAAAATGAGTTGAAGAAATCCAAAATACCCCTTTTATGGGGAAAAACATTTTGAACTCATTAATTCCCAAGGTTCATTTGTCTGCCGTGCTGAGCTAACTGTATACACATTTCAACCAATGATCTGTGGGTCCTTCTTTCATGTGCCAACTGCCCCCTGATTATGATGCAATTAAATCAAACCACAGAACTGTAAATAGATATAATTTTTTGCAATAACATAGCATGTATGAGGATCGGTGCTCTGAATAAATGAGAACATAGTATAGTCCATAGATCCATAGTCATCAACGCATTTTTTTTAAAATAAGGATGAATTTTGGGCAATGTAACATAAACACATCTTAATCTTAACCCCCTCCCTCCCAATGTAGTTAGCATAGGTCTGCATAAACACTGTTTAATATTCATAGTGCAAGAACAGTTTTTACTTGAATACTGATATTTTATGTCATTACAGATTCCAAGAGTCCCCTGCATTAAGACATTATGGGGACATTTATCGAAACTGGATCAGACAGAAGTGTAGTTGCTCTGCAGTGCTGAAGCAATAACCTGGGTAATGACAAGAACGTACACCTTTCCCCTATTCCTCACCAGAAAACCATGTACAACACAACCCTTGCCAATTGCAAAGGACTGCTCAAAACTGGAGCAGCTGTGTGTTGCAAACGTGCGCAACAGAGACTGATGCAGTCTGCCATTTTGTTAAGAGTATCCATTTTTCTTCCCTCACTCCCTCCCCCTCCCTCTCTGAGAGGAGACATTTGGCCAGCGTGTGTGTGCTGGTTGTGGGTCACTGGCAAGCCAAGGCATCTCCCTCTGAGCTAGGTGCCTAGCTGTCTGAGCGAGCTGTCTCATTTCACACCTCGGAAGAGATAAGGCAAGCTTTCTCTGGAGTTGAGAGAGATTCCACCCTAATAAAACCTAACTCAGCGTAGGTGACAGAAGCAGATAACCTCTGTTAAAACCATGTTTTCCCCTATGTCTCATATCGTGGAATATGAGAGACTTACATAAAAACCTGACATATCGTCAGATGGACGATGAGCAGGCGAACAGTTTGTTGGGTCACTCGCCTTGTCTCGGATGCACAGGAAAGCAGAAAAAATAGATCTCGCGAACCGTTTAGCATACACTTTCATAATTCATATCTAATCAATCCTCAGACTTGTCTGCATAATAATTGTCAGGAATGGACTAGCCAGCAATGGTGGGACTCACCTGCCTTTTGATCTGCAGTACCAGGGCTGGCCAGCGGATGCTCCCAGCAATCAGACTCAACTTTGCAGCCAGCTAACACCTGGAACTGATTATGCTGGGGTATTTAAGGGATGGCCAGACTTGCAGACTCTGCCTTGGTGTTGTGTTTGTCCTGGGCCCTGTATCCTGTTTCTGTCTTGCATCCTGTTTCTGAACCGCTGCTGACTTCTCCTGCTTTGATCCCGGCTCGCTCCTGACCATCCCTCTGCCTGACCCTCTGTACCACGCTGCTTGCTACCTGTTCTGATCCCTGGCTTGTGACCCTGACCATCCCTCTGCCTGACCCTCTGTACTACGCTGCTTGCTACCTGCTGAACCTGGCCTGTGACCCCGACCAATCTCCGCTTGCTCCCCCTGTACCTACCTGCCCTATTGATATTGACCCGGCCTGCCTGACGACGCTTGCTTGTATGTACTGTTATCTGTGGGTGGTTGGTTTGGTTTGGTTGCACTGTATTATGTTTTAGTATTGCACTGCGTTTATGTTTGTATTGTTAGTGTTAATAAATTATATTGTTTATAACATATCTGAGGTCTGCATTTCCCTGCGTCAGCCACACACCTCTGGTCACACCTGGGAGCCCTGACATTACACCAAGGCCAATCCTGACCAGAAGTGGCTGCACAGGGAAGCCATCTTGGCTTGTTGCTGGGAAGGATGGATCTGGATGAGGTTGTGTGTATTTATATCTGCTAGTGTTTGATGACAGGGAGTATGCTTATCAAACTCTGAAGGAGTATCCCAGGGATCAACTACTAGAATGTATACGGCTCGCTCATGTTCTAGTAGATCAGGGCACAGAGTTCTCTGAGGTGCAGCCTTTGATTGAGGTTTGTGCTGAGTTGGTTTCATCTGGTTCCCCCGAATGCAGGGATGAATTTTTGCCACCATTTAGTGCAGACCAGGTAGAGTCCCTGGTGTGGTTATTAGAGGATGATGTGGGGGTTACTTTCTGGAGCGTTATTCCACATGTTCACCACAGACACTAAGAGATTGTATAAACGCAGTGCAGTCATTGACCAGACAGGCTTTGTGTAAGCTCAGCTTTGTTCAACCCATACTGCAGACATGGACAGACTTGTTGCACCCAGCCTCAGTCAGCTTACAAAAACCCAGTCCTGCTTCTAACTCTACTCCTGTATTCCCACCAGCTCCTCCAGTTACAGCCCAGTATACTTGGCTATCTACCGCATGTCAGTACCCTGTTCCCACTCGCTGCACCTATCCTGCCTTTAACCCTGTAAAAAAGTCCTCTGTAGCAACTGCTCCCTCTCCTGTTCCATCCTCCAGTTTTTCTCTGTCTCCAGCTGCTCCATTCGTTTGCAGACCTGCGTTTACTTGCAGTGCTCCAGTAGTTAAAACCAGAAAAAAGCGAAAATTCTTTCCAACCAATACCATCCTGCCAGTATCCAAACCGGTGAACCTGCCTTCCGTGACTCAGCCTGAAGCCTCTACTCAGCCTGAAGCCTCTACTCAGCCTGAAGCCTCTACTCAGCCTGAAGCCTCTCTTCAGCCGGATGCCTCTCTTCAGCCGGATGCCTCTCTTCAGCCTGATGCCTCTCTTCAGCCTGATGCCTCTCTTCAGCCTGATGCCTCTCTTCAGCCTGATGCCTCTACTCAGCCTGATGCCTCTACTCAGCCTGATGCCTCTCTTCAGCCTGATGCCTCTCTTCAGCCTGAAGCCTCTCTTCAGCCTGAAGCCTCTACTCAGCCTGAAGCCTCTACTCGGCCTGATGCCTGCATTCAGCCTGATGCCGCTACTCAGCATGATGAACTGATCCAGCCCGACGATCCTATTAGGCCATTTGCCTCGATGCCCGCTGTTGATCCAGATGATCCGGTACCTGATCCAGTGCCCGCTGTCGTGCCAATTGACTCAGAGCCCGCTGTCATACCTGGTGACCCGGTGCCCACTGCCTTGCCAGATGACGCGGTGCCCGCTGGCAAGCCAAATGACCTGATGCCTGGTGACCCAGTGCCCGCTGTCATACCTGGTGACCCGATGCCCGCTGTCGAGCCAGACAATCTGATACCTGATGACCCGGTGCCCACTGTCGTGCCTGTTGACTCGGAGCCCACTGTCTTGCCAGACGACTCGGTGCCCGCTGTTCCGCCAGTTGACTCGGTGCCCGCAGTCTTGCCAGACGACTCGGTGCCCGCAGTCTTGCCAGACGACTCGGTGCCCGCAGTCTTGCCAGACGACTCGGTGCCTGCAGTCTTGCCAGACGACTCGGTGCCCGCAGTCCCGCCAGTTGACTCGATGCCCGCTGTTCCGCCAGACGACTCGGTGCCCGCAGTCTTGCCAGACGACTCGGTGCCCGCAGTCTTGCCAGACGACTCGGTGCCCGCAGTCTTGCCAGACGACTCGGTGCCCGCAGTCCCGGCAGTTGACTCGATGCCCGCTGTTCCGCCAGTTGACTCGATGCCCGCTGTTCCGCCAGTTGACTCGGTGCCCGCAGTCTTGCCAGACGACTCGGTGCCCGCAGTCTTGCCAGACGACTCGGTGCCCGCAGTCTTGCCAGACGACTCGGTGCCCGCTGTTCCGCCCAGTTGACTCGATGCCCGCAGTCTTGCCAGACGACTCGATGCCCGCAGTCTTGCCAGACGACTCGGTGCCTGCAGTCTTGCCAGATGACTCGGTGCTCGCAGTTCCGCCAGTTGACTCGATGCCCGCAGTTCCGCCAGTTGACTCGATGCCCGCAGTCCCCGCCAGTTGACTCGATGCCCGCTGTTCCGCCAGTTGACTCAGTGCCCGCTGTTCCGCCAGTTGACTCGGTGCCCGCAGTCTTGCCAGACGACTCGGTGCCCGCAGTCTTGCCAGACGACTCGGTGCCCGCAGTCTTGCCAGACGACTCGGTGCCCGCTGTTCCGCCAGTTGACTCGATGCCCGCAGTCTTGCCAGACGACTCGGTGCCCGCAGTCTTGCCAGACGACTCGGTGCCCGCAGTTCCGCCAGTTGACTCGATGCCCGCTGTTCCGCCAGTTGACTCGGTGCCCGCAGTCTTGCCAGACGACTCGGTGCCCACTGTCGTGCCTGGTGACTCGGTGCCCGCCGCTTCGTCTGGGGGCCCAAGACCTGTCGCTCCACCTGGGGGTCCGGCGCCCGCCGCTCCGCCTGGGGGCCCGAGACCTGTCGCTCCGCCTGGGGGCCCGAGACCTGTCGCTCCACCTGGGGGTCCGGCGCCCGCCGCTCCGCCTGAGGGCCCGAGACCTGTCGCTCCATCTGGGGGTCCGGCGCCCGCCGCTCCGCCTGAGGGCCCGAGACCTGTCGCTCCATCTGGGGGTCCGGCGCCCGCCGCTCCGCCTGAGGGCCCGAGACCTGTTGCTCCGCCTGGGGGCCCGAGACCTGTCGCTCCACCTGGGGGTCCGGCGCCCGCCGCTCCGCCTGAGGGCCCGAGACCTGTCGCTCCACCTGGGGGTCCGGCGCCCGCCGCTCCGCCTGAGGGCCCGAGACCTGTCGCTCCATCTGGGGGTCCGGCGCCCGCCGCTCCGCCTGAGGGCCCGAGACCTTTCGCTCCACCTGGGGGTCCGGCGCCCGCCGCTCCGCCTGAGGGCCCGAGACCTGTCGCTCCACTTGGGGGTCCGGCGCCCGCCGCTCCGCCTGGGGGCCCGACCTGTCGCTCCATCTGGGGGTCCGGCGCCCGCCGCTCCGCCTGGGGGCCCGATGCCTGTCGCCCCTCCTGGGGGCCCGATGCCTGTCGGAGTCTGCCCGGAGTCCAGCCCGATGTGCCTCTGCCCGGAGTCCAGCCCGATGTGCCTCTGCCCGGAGTCCAGCCCGATGTGCCTTTGCCCGGAGTCCAGCCCGATGTGCCTCTGCCCGGAGTCCAGCCCGATGTGCCTCTGCCCGGAGTCCAGCCCGATGTGCCTCTGCCCGGAGTCCTGCCCGATGTGCCTCTGCCCGGAGTCCTGCCCGATGTGCCTCTGCCCGGTGTGCCTTTGCCCAATGTGCCTCTGCCCGGTGTGCCCCTGCCCGGTGTGCCGCTGCCCGGAGTCCTGCCCGGTGTGCCAGTCTTTGATATCCCGCCAGTTACCAGACCCGGGCGGTGGAACATTTTGCCCAGCTAGGACTGTTTGGAGCGTCCTGAGGCCGCTCCTTGAGGGGGGGTACTGTCAGGAATGGACTAGCTAGCAATGGTGGGACTCACCTGCCTTTTGATCTGCAGTACCAGGGCTGGCCAGCGGATGCTCCCAGCAATCAGACTCAACTTTGCAGCCAGCTAACACCTGGAACTGATTATGCTGGGGTATTTAAGGGATGGCCAGACTTGCAGACTCTGCCTTGGTGTTGTATTTGTCCTGGGCCCTGTATCCTGTTTCTGTCCTGCATCCTGTTTCTGAACCGCTGCTGACTTCTCCTGCTCTGATCCCGGCTCGCTCCTGACCATCCCTCTGCCTGACCCTCTGTACCACGCTGCTTGCTACCTGTTCTGATCCCTGGCTTGTGACCCTGACCATCCCTCTGCCTGACCCTCTGTACTACGCTGCTTGCTACCTGCTGAACCTGGCCTGTGACCCCGACCAATCTCCGCTTGCTCCCCCTGTACCTACCTGCCCTATTGATATTGACCCGGCCTACCTGACGACGCTTGCTTGTATGTACTGTTATCTGTGGGTGGTTGGTTTGGTTTGGTTGCACTGTATTATGTTTTAGTATTGCACTGCGTTTATGTTTGTATTGTTAGTGTTAATAAATTATATTGTTTATAACATATCTGAGGTCTGCGTTTCCCTGCGTCAGCCACACACCTCTGGTCACACCTGGGAGCCCTGACAATAATCTACTTGCGGGTGGGATGTCACTTGTGCATAGGAAACGTTATAGGCCAAATATGAGTTATGGTAAATTTTTGCTCTAGTTGAGGCATCCACCCATCTCTCCACGCCCTAAGCGGAGATTGGTCCTTGACTGCAGAGCCACCCCCTGCTGGGGACTACAAAACAGGCTGTCAGGCCTAAGATAAGGAAGTTGAAGAAGTCTCCCATTTTAACATCAATACCACCTGGGAAGACCCCTGCCTTTTGCTCTGAAACTTGGATCTGCTAACCCAGGACTTTGGCAAGTACTTTAACCCTTTCACCTCTCTCTGATATCTCTTTGCTGTGCTATGGTTCTTTGTATATTTATATATATATATCTTAGTTACATCTTTTTTCTGTAAATATTTTTATTGCACCCGTTTGACCTTTTAGTAATAAATCTTTCTTTCTGAAAGTGTTGAACTGTTTCTATAGCTCTGTATTGCAATTTACGAATCCCTGCCTCTAAAGAGAACGCTTCTGTTTGTTTAACCCTCTGTATAACAGGCCTGTGTTATGACCGTGTTATGCAGTCGATTATTTCAATCATTATAGTGTTATAGCTGACAACGCCCAGTTTCCTCTTTCTCTGTACAAAAAGGAGGTGTTGGCAGTGTGAAGGGTTAATTGCGTAATTAACCTGACCCAGTAACAATCGCCAACGCTGCCGGTACATTGAATGTGGTCCATTAGCTGGAAATCATTGTGCAGGGTGCAGCTGGGTGTGGCATTGTTACGCATGTCACATCGCGGTTTTAGATTGGCTAGTCCTTCGGTCACGAGTTTGGGTGAGAAGGTCTGGGGTCTGACGCTGCGATCATGACATATTGGTGGCAGCGATCGTGGGATCGTGACACTGTGTATGGTAACCAATAAGCTTCTATCTTCAACTTGCTCAAAAAAGCTTTGAATATAAAAGCTAAAAGCTGATTGGTTGTCATGCACAGCTGCTCCAGTTTTGAGCAGGCCTTTGGAATTGGCAAGGGCTGTGTTGTAGATGGTTCTCTGGTGAGGAATAGGGGAAAAGTGTACGCCCTTTTCATTACCCAGGTTATTGCTTCAGCACTGCAGACCAACTACACAGGGTAGTTAAAGCAAAACTAAACCTGCAAAGTAAAAAAAAAACTGGTATCAGATATGTTAACAGATTTATGGGAGAAGAAATTCTGCATCTTTCTTATACCATAAAATCTTTTCCCTTGCCTATCAGGTGTGTTTTCCAATTTGTACACTGACAACTACACATGTGCAGCTCAATGTACAGTACAATCCTAGCATCTGTATCGGGATGAATGAACTACCACGTGTATAAGCGGAAGTTAAAGTGGTTGTAAAGGGTCAAGGTTTTTACCTTCATGCATGAAGATAAAAAACCTTCTCTGTGCAGCAGCTCCCCCAGCCCCCCCAATAATCACCTAAGCCTCCTCTCGATCTGGCAATGTGCACTGGAGTCTCAGCAATCTTGGGAATCCCTCTCCTCATTGGTTGAGACAGCACTGGCTTCCACTGCTATCAGTCACAGCCAATGTGCCAATGAGAAGAGAGAGGGGTGGTGCAAAATTCATGGCTCTGTGTGTGAATGGACACACAGAGCAGCGGATGCCCTCATATTAAGCTGCTTATTGTGGGGGCATCCGACAGGAGGGAGGGGCCAGGAGTGCCGGTGGGGTACCCGAGAAGAGGAGGATCCAGGCTGCTCTGTGCAAAACCACTGCAGAGAGTAGGTAAGTATGACTTTTTTTTTTTAATGTAAGCCTTTAATATCACTTTGAGGCAACATGACCCAGCTAATCAAGAAGGCCGAAAACTTGCTGAACATGAAAGACGATGGAGAGAAGATTAAAAAGCATTGGTGATGGAGTGCTGAGGAAGATTGTTGAGGTAGCGCCACTAGAAGGAGTCATTTAAAAGAAAGGTGTGCCATAATGTGCATATATACTGTGCACACTTGCACATTATGGAGAAAGTACTACATAGGCTGAAACCCCTTTACTTTAATTTTGAGTAATTTATCATCATACAAAAAAGAACTGCGCTATGATAAAATACACAAAAAAGCTGCCAGCATCATGAGTCCAGATACATAACTCAAAACACAATATGAAAAAAGTGCAGCGCTAAAAAAATGAATATATGTTTACACATTAAAATAATATGAATAATGTAAGTGAATCATATAAACAGAAACAATAAAAAAAGTTCAATAAACTCCTCTTGATTGGATAACACCACCAAAAGTGCAAAGAAAATATGAAATGATGACTAGAAACTCCGGCTAGTGATGAAGGAGAGCCCACAATCTGAAAGAAAAACACACTGTGGCTGCTTAGCAGAATGTATTGACCCTTGCATAAAACAGATAGGTCAAACAGCGCTAGTTTAAAAGACAATATCGCATCTGGTATGATATCTCCTCCAAGTGATACACAGGGTGAGAGATTGCCTCCACAGATCACTCAGAGGTGAGACATAAAAGAAGTCACTTCCAAAGTGTAAAACAGCTATAAAAAATAAATTAAAAAAGTAGAAGAGACACTCATAAAATAAAAAGCATCAGCGGGCTTCTCCAGCAATACAGAAAGAAGTTTTCAAGTGTGGCATCCCTATGGCCAGCTGTAGGTCAGACATGAATCCCTATCCAATTGCAATCCACGTGCATGATGACGTCACCATCAGGCCAAGAAACCCAAGCTGGAATTTATGTATGAAGCAACAAATAAATTGAGAACAGGCTTGAAGACGGCTTTGTTGGATTCGCAGCAGGCAGACACGGAAGGTAATAGTTTATACTTTTGTCAGCCCTTGCTGCCTCTATGAAAAGTGATCCATAGCATTTGACAGGCAGTGTTGCCTCTTTACCTGCTGTTTTAGCCCTGAAGTTGCCATACCACTGTGTGGCAGCCGTGAGCATTGCACGTGGTTGCAGGGCGGTTCTGGCACATCCCTATTTACTACAGCTGATGGGGAAATAATTATTGCTGTGCCTGCAAACCAAAGTATCACAATCATGACATGAGTACAACTTGGTCCAGCTGGCTTAAAGTGGAACTGAAGATCTACTCTAACAAACAGTGAGCAGGCAGGCTTCTATTGCAGAAGAGACATGCAATTTGTCTTCTGCAGTAAAATGCTCCTACTCAACCGGCACAAAAGGAGAAGATGCCGGCGCCAGCAAGGGATTGTTGGAAAATGAGTATTAACCACTTTAGTTCCACTTTAAGGGGGGAGTATTCGGGGGTAAAAACACAGCTCAACCAAGCGTACATGAGTCCTACGTGAGTCTGAACTCCTGGTTTGTTACTATGCCATAAGAATAATGGGACTACCTCCTGAATATCCCTGCTCTAAAGACACAGACATAAATCTTTACTGCCTCAAGGGAAGCTGGTTCAAAACTTTCCTTGGCAATAAAACCTGTGGGTGTTTGGCCAATGACTCGGTCCCTTCAAAAAATACAGACGCCCTCACATATTTTGGGTCCACAATAATGTCATGCCCAAACTGAGAGATTTAAGTCTCGTGTACACTGGGCATTTTAAAACCGCTGGTAGAGTTAGCTGTATAATTCTTTTTTCACCTTTTTTTAGTGTTTTTGTATCAGCTTTTAGCTGTGTTTTGCCACATTAGCGGGGTTTTTAGCATTTTTTACACACAAAAAAAACATTCAAAAACACCGGTTTGCAGCGTTTTACTGCATTTACCAGTGTTAGAGCATTTTTACAGCTAAAAAATGCCTCTAGAAACCCACTAGTTCTGGGCCCCTGCCAAAAAAAGCTGATTAACCACTTGCCCTGCTGAGGATTTACCCCCCTTCCTGACCAGGCTATTTTGTGCGAAACAGTGCTGCGTTACTTTATCTGACAATTGCGTGGTCATGCAACGCTGCACCCAAACAAAA